GGACTCCCATTTCTGACAGATGGCAGTCCAGTCTATTCTTGAGACTCTTCCCATCCTGCTTACAATCTTTTTGGACTGTTGCCTTCTGGCAGAAGATACAGAACAATTAAAACTCAGACCACACGTTTTCGGAATAGTTTTTATCCCAGAGCTATAATTGTACTCAACCATGAACTAAAGAGCCGCCATCAGTGAGCTGTTGAACAGCATTACTTGGTCTGTTGTGTGGATGTTTGGGTGGTTTAGGGGTGGGGAATTGTGGTGGGTGGGAGTGTGTTTGGGGATTGTTATGTGTGTTGGACCTGATCTTTGGGTGTTAAGTGAATTTCGTTGTATGGGTATACTGTGTATACACATACAATGACAATAAAATTATTATTATTATTATAACTATGTACAATGAGTTACATATCAAATGAAACGATCACCATGTTTCTCATCCGTGGTGGCAAAACCAGGTCCATCCGTGAAGATTTAAGTAAAACTGTAAAGGACCCCCATATGATAGTTGATGGTTAAAGTCCACAAACTCAACAAAATTAAAATCGAAGGAAGATCAGCATGATGTGCAACAGAAGATCTAAATGTCTATGGAGATTCTCAGTCATCCAGGTTGTCCCAAAGGCACAACTGGACTTTCTGGGTTTTTTTTTTTTTTTTTGAAGATGTTTCACTTCTCACCCAAGAAGCTTCTTTAGTTCTGACTGGATTCTTGAAAGGTCTTCAAAGCGAAAGGTCTTCAAAGAAAAACCAGAAAGTCCAGTTGCCTCTTGAAAAAGCACCTTTGGGGCAACAGAAAATCATGTCTTTCATGCTCAAAGTCTTACAGAAAGAGTTGGGTCTTTACTACTTCTGAAATCCAGATGTGGTCCACCTGGATTTGTTCCATGGGGTTGGGACTACCACCAAGTGTGGTGGCTGCACAATCTCTGGGCTCCTGTCCTCTCCCAATGTCATGACCCATTGTATTCCACACTATCTTCTCTACCTGGTTGACAGCTTGATCCACACCTTGAACCATTTCCAGATGTTCTCCTCCCAGCTTAAAACACCCTTCCTTAATTTAGGAAGTTTTTAAAATAAGAGCATTGAATGCAGAAGAAAATAAAATGTTCCAATATGTTTACTATTCTTCCTTGTGGAGGGAACTGTATGAAAAATCAAGATAAAACAAGTCTAGAAATGTCCCTCAAGTTTTTATCTTGTTCTATACCTCCCAGGAGATAATTTCCTTGTGGGAGAAACCTCAAATTATAGTAATGAATTGCCCATCCTATTTATGAACCCAGGAGTCTTGCAAATCTCAAGATAATGATATGTGGGTGTGTTACACCCTCCTGCTATTTCCTTCCATCTGACTCAAACCATGCTCAAATATTCAGTCAGGTTTCACCTGCGGTTTGTCCAATGACAAGAATCAAGATGAAGAGACAAATATCTGGCATTTTCCTGAGTTCTGGATTTAGGAGTCCTTCTTCCTTCAAAACACTACAAAACCCTGTCAGTTGGACACAAAACACCATCAGTTGCACACAACATGATACCTCCAGATAAACGTTAGTATCAACAGTTCAACGAAAATTTGAACTGACCCAACAGAACAGCGAAATAAGGAAGCTGATGGAGCTCACTGTTGACCTCCTAAATTCTTTAGGAATTCTAGAGAAGGCCTTCAAAGGTTGCTTGAAGGAATCTCAATGAGTTTTTTTTTTTAAAAAATATCCTTCCTTAAATCCAGCTTGAATTTTGCTTTTCTGTTTGCATACTTGGTGCAATTCAATACCAGATACAAAATATTATAGTCTGTAGAGATTCTCAGTCATCCAGGACATGGTTGTCCCAAAGGTGCTTTTTCAGGACTTTCTTGTTTTTTTCCTTTTGAAGACATCTTTCTTTTGAAGACGTAATTTGGGATGAACACCCTTTAAACGGTGTGGGAGAAGGAATGGATTTCCAGAGGGAAAAAATATCGCACAGGAACTAGGAGCACTACACAGCTGACCCTGAGGACACAGATAAGCCTCCAAGTGGCCTCAATGATCCTCTAAAAGGATGCAAATGACCAGCTATCTGCAAGGAATATAAATCCTTCCATTCCTCACCATCCTGTCAGAGCTGAAGAAGCTTCTCGGATGAGAAGCGAAAGGGCTTCAAAAGCAAAAAAAACCCAAGAATGTCCAGTTGCCTCCTCAAGAAGCAGCTTTGGGATATTGTGATGATTACTAATATAAAGCATTTTCCTTATCAGTCGGTCAGTGTCAACATCACTAAGGGAAACTTCAAGAAAAGATTATAGCCAGAAGCATCTCCCCCAATGATAATCTTTGTTCATAGCCTGCTGTTGTCCCTGATTCTTGTACTCTGGGTGACCCATGCCACAGAATTCACCCTGTCAAAATGCGAAGGAGATGAACAACAATTTCAGTCTGGGGTTCGGTGAGCAGGGCGAGAAAATGACATTTTCATCCCAGCTCATTCATCCGTGGGAATGTCGCCAGACATGTCCTCCTGGGATTTGAAGGGAGAATCCTTTTTGATCTGTCAAGTTGTGGCTTGAGCTCTCCAAAATAATCTGAGTTAATCATGGTTGGGGTGGTACGGCTTATTGCAAGGGTGAGTTTCACGGCAAGCTTTGCTGCCGACTCAGGAACGTAGCTACCTGTATAATGCAAGGTTTTATGCTGTGTGTTTTATAAGGCGTCATCCTGTGGATATTATAATACAAAGCAGGGAAATGCAGGGAAACATGTACTTTGAAAGACAAAGAGCCTTGGTAGTACAGTGGTCTAAAGCACCCTATTATTAAGAACAGCTGCCTGCAATTACTGCAGGTTTGAATCTCGCCAAGGCTCAAGGTTGACTCAGCCTTCCATCCTTTCTAAGGTAGGTAAATTGAGGACCCAGTTGTGGGGGCAATAAGCTGACTTTGTATAAATATACAAAAGGATGAAGGCTATTGCTTAGCGCATTGTAAGCCGCCCTGAGTCTCCGGAGAAGGGCAGCATATAAATCAAATTAAAAATAAAAAATAAAAAATCCAGTTTTCTTTATTAAAAAAACACACACAAAATCAGATTAACCTTCCTTCTAATGTAGAACAAGGACTTCTTCACTCCATCCTTCACTACTGATAGCCTATATCCGTGTTGACGAACCTATGGAACATGTGCCGGAAGCGGCATGCAGAACCATCCCGCATAGGATGCGTGGCCTCGCTGGCTCCTCTTCTGTGTCCCTGTGCACACACGTGCACCGGTCAGCTGGCCTTCGTGCGTGCAGGACCGCCAAAATCTGGAAGAGCAGCGTTCCATCATGCATGCACGTGCCGGCACTCAAACTTCTGGGTTTACTTGGGTGCATGCACGATGGCCAGCTGTTCTGCCTCCAGAAACTGGAAGTTTGGGTGCTGGCGCGCGGATGCATGATGGAATGCTGCTCTTTTGGGTTATGGCGTGAACGCGTGCGAAGGCCAACGGGGCCGTGCGAAGGCCAACGAGTGAAGGCCAGCGAGGCCGCACAGTCCAGGCAGATGGTTTTGCGGGTCGCAGGTCGGCACGTGGTGACATAAAAGGTTAGCCATCATTGGCCTATATGATATTATTGCATGGCATTATTTTTCGTTTTTATGATGGTTATACTACCAGAATGAAATATTTCCAGTTCTCTTCTCCCCTTGCTTCCATCCGTTTGTAAAGGAGTTGGGTGGACAAACTGGGAGAGAAATTGTTAAAAATGCACAACCAGGGCAAGAGTGACAACTGTGCAACAGTGGTGTCAGACTGCGGTGCTATCTCAAGATTAAATGAATCTCCAAACTGCCAATCTTTAAGGAAATCTTTCTTTAATTGAGCTCAGCCACTGGATCATGACTCCGCGCGGACAAGACTGACCTTTTGCCTCCCAATCCCTCCCTTTCCGACCCCCAAGTCTCTGCTTCTCATTGGCTGTCTTCCAAGTCATTCTTCAGACTTCTTTTCCCCGTCATTTCTCAGGAATGTGCCCCCCCCATTTATCTCCACGACAACCAGGCTTCAAAGGGATTTTGCAGGCAAAAGTTACAGAGTTTATCTTTTACTGTCCTCTGCTCTCTCTGTCTATGCCAGCGTTGCAACGCTGACAAGTGGTTTCATCTACTCAACAAGATTTTATTCAAGCTAGCTCTTTCCTCAAGATAAGCCATATCCATATCTAACAAGCAACCACCGTAAACCTCACTGAGTGTCTTCCAACTGCCATAATTAGCTAGGATGGCTTCCTTAAACATTAAATATTCATTCAGTGCTACCTGTTGTACAGAATCCTGTCATGGCAGCCCACAGATTTTTATCATTCAGACGCTGAATCATTAAAAAAGAAAAAGGCACACTTAAGCGCTCTTGTCATACTGTGAGGGAAAGATTAGATTTCGAGAAAACAACCCAGATAAAAAAATAAATAACAGGTTTCTAGACCGCAGGACCGTGAGGGAAAAAAATGTGGTTTAAGAAATACAAGATAGAAATTTGTATGGCTGTAGGCCTGACAGCAGACGAGCCACGTCAAATAAAAGGTAATTTGAATGTATTGCTTCTGGACTTGTTTCGGGGTTTTAAAATATTCTATTCCATTCAGATGTCATGCATGGAGAATATAGTGGATTTATCACTTATATCTTTGATGTGCACTGAGAGCATATGCACCGAAGACAAATTTTTTGTGTGTCCAATCACACTTGGCCAATAAAGAATTCTAATTCGATTCAATTTGATTCCATATTTTCTATTCTGTTCTGTTCTGTTCTGTTCTGCTCTGCTCTGCTCTACTCTACTCTACTCTACTCTACTCTACTCTACTCTACTCTACTCTACTCTACTCTACTCTACTCTATTCTATTCTTTTTTATTTTCTGTCTGAACCGGGAGCATTTCATCCCAGGTAACTTCCCAAGTGCTAATTATTCCCAGAACATCTGGAAACTCTAGAAGTTTCCATCACCTGTTTAATAAAAGAAACAGACAAAGTTTTGGAATGCAATCTTAGAGATATTTTAATATGAACAAAGACACATGAGAACATGTTCTACAAGATGAACATTGACTGAAAAGGTGGACTTCCATCCCCAGAACCGGGTTTTCCTCTTGGCAACCTTCCATAGCCCCCTTTCGACCAGTTACGGAATCGTATCCTGTCGGTACAGAAGGATCTTTCTCTGCTTAGGGAATTCGACGGAAGGGAAACCAGAGTCCGATGGCTTGTCAAATGTACAGTGAAAAGAAGTTAGGTATGGCTGGGATGTGAACGTGGAAAGAGACAGGTGTGTGTCGTGGCAAATGGTCAGCTGAAGGGCTCTCAAAAAGTCCATTGATGGAGGAGGACTTCATCTTCATGCTCAGGAAGGTTAATACGATGACCGATAAGTGGAGGAGCTGAAGTTAGAGCTTGGCAGAGCTCGGGAGTAGAAGCTGGTGAGGTTGGAGCCACCCCTTGGCATGGGCAAAGTAACTGCGGCACAAGGATTGTGTTGTTCAATGCCCAGAGGCTGGTCAGGACAGTAGAGGGCAGGTCCTGGGATGGTGAGAACAAAGGGTGGTGGCTGGATGGTCACAGTTGAAGCTGGGCATTGAGCGTAGCATTCGTTCCACATTGAGCGGTTGGCCATCTTAGGATATCGGAGAGAGGCTGAAACGAGAAGAATCGGGACCAAGGGGAGAAGTTATGAGGTGTGAGGGCCACAGCCAGAAGAACATCTCCACCAGAACTGATGGGGTTGTGTCCTCAACATTCTACTGAAAAGAGATATATGGGTAGAAGGGCTCCAACAGATATTTATTACAATGAAAACTGCCAGAGATAATTTTAAAAAGGTTTAGAAGTGGATGATTATACAGGAGAGAGAATGCATTAATAATACATTTTGCTCTCTAATGTATACAATAATTTATATAATAATTTAATAATCATGCAGGATAGTGCATTATAAAGTACTGGACAAACTAGTGCCTATCTCTTTTTGAAATATATATTTATGTATAATATTAATACCATATTATTAAAAGTTATTTTATATCTTGCATAAATAATACACCTCCCTCCAGACTGTGTATTGACTCCAAAAACATCGAGTATAAAATATGTATTGCATAAAATATTGCATAAAGTTGCATTAATGTACTGCATACATTACCAGTTACGCAATTTTGTAAAATATATTGCCTCAGAAAATAAAGGTTGTTTTATGCACAGCATTTATTTATGCAATGTGCAAAGAATACACATTTCCCTAGAGTATCTACTGAGTACAATTTCTAATATAAAGTATGCATTACAGGAATAAAAATATTTCATAAAATGTTCCATTGATGTGCTGCATATATTTATGCAATGTGGAAATACAGTTGCTATTTGCTAGGTTGCGATATATATTATATATACAACATGAGAAATTATTAGAGAAGAAAAGATTGTAGATTATTTTTTAGTTACTGATATTTGGGTTCAAATGCAAATTCTTGTTTTGGTCGAATGGTAGAATACCAAATCACATCGGTTAAGAACAAGTGCATGAAGTTAGCAATACAGGTCTTGAAAAAAAATGGTGCAAGACAAGACATGCAGATTTTCACAGACTTCAGAGAGAAAGAAGGAGAAAAAGAGAGCGAGAGAAAGGAAAGAAAGAAAGAAAGAAATAAGAAAAAAGAGGGAGAAAAGGAGAGAGATAAAAGAAAGGAGAGAGACAGACAGAAAGAAATGAAGAAAGAAAGAAAAAGGAGAGGGATAAAGGCAGAGAGAGAGAGAGAGAGAAAGAAAGAAAGAAAGAAAGAAAGAAAGAAAGAAAGAAAGAAAGAACAGGGAGGCAGGAGGTTGGACTAGAAGACCTGCAAGGTACCTTCCAACTCTGTTATTCTGAAGAAAGAAGGGAAGGAAGGAAGGAAGGAAGGAAGGAAGGAAGGAGAGACAGACAGAAAGAAAGGAGAGAGACAGAAAGAAAGAAAGAAAAAGAAAGAACGACAGACAGACAGGAGAAGACAAAATTATAGTCTTAATCTCCAATTCTGGCATTGGAGAATTGCTATTTCTGTTCCTGAAAAATATTAAGATCCTGGGGAAGAGGAAGAAGAACTGAAGGAAACAAGAATAGACTGACTCCAGAGGTTAATGGATCTCCTTCACTGAGGAGAAGATCCATGCCAACACTCAGAGACAATAGCCATTGGATTATTTCCTATGTCTGGATCAGAGTTGGATTCAACTTGCCTTGCTCCCAATCCTAAACCATCCTCCCTCTGTGAAAGGTCTGGAGGCACCTCTGTTTTTGAAACCCTCCCTGATAGTTGCTAGCTTGGTCCCTCCCATCTGCAATTTTCAGAAGCTTGCTTTCCATATCTCCTAAGTCAGTGGTGGAATTCAAATTTTTTTACTACAGGTTCTGTTGACGTGGCTTGGTAGGCGTGGCAGGGGAAGGATACTATAAAATCCCCATTCTCTCCCCACTCCAGGAGAAGAATACTGCAAATTCTCCATTCCCACCCCACTCCAGGGGAAGGATAAAGGATACTGCAAAATCCCCATTCCCTCCCGACTCCAGGGGAAGGATACTACAAAATTCCCCATTCCCTCCCCACTCTGGGGCCAGCCAGAGGTGGCATTTGCCGGTTCTCCGAACTGCTCAAAATTTCCGCTATCGGTTCTCCAGAACCTGTCAGAACCTGCTGAATAGCACCCCTGCTCCTAATCCTCAGCTTGCCAGCTCAAGCTCCATCTCAGTCTTCATTGAAGAACTAGGACATGAAGACAACTCTCTCTCTTAAGCATGCCTTCTCAAGTCAACCTCTGCTAAGAGGTTCCTCTTAATCCATGGAGTTGAGGTCCTCTTCAGAATCTCTCTACACCCTTGTAAAGAAACCTCCTAAGAAGAACTTACCGGTTCTCGAAGGGTTGAGAGGTTAGAAGGGAAGAGATGGTTCTGAGATGTTTCCTCAAGGATCCAGCTTTTTATATCCTCAGCTGCATAGCCTCCAGGGATGAGACACCCAGAATGAATTTCCCAATTTCGGTGTCACAAGAGAGACACCCGGGTTTGCTGTAAATAATTCCCCACCCAATGGCGATTACTAAGCGGTGCATAAGAAAAACAATTGATCCACCCAATTCAGTGACAATAAGGTTTGACCAGCTCAATTAAATGTACGTTACGCCCTACAGATGGATTTTAAAAAATGGACAGCTTTATCAAGTGAAAACAATGAGCTTCCTCTGGTTAACATTCCACAAAATGCTTTCAGATTGGTCACCTGTGAGTAAAGATTACAGGGCCTGTTGGAGTGAAGGAGACACAACATTTTGTTATGTTGGATCACATTCACAGGAGAAGCTCTCTTGGAATTAGACATATATTTGGAATGGGGGATGTCTAGTTTAATTTAGTTTTAGTTTAGTTTAGTTTATTGTCATTGCACCTCATGCAACGAAATTTAATTCCATATTAAGTGTACATTATAACTATACAAATAAAACACAAACACACCTCCTTCACATTCTATCTATACAATTGAACTGAACATTTCCAATATTGCATTAATATTGCACTGTACAGTAGAATTCAATATAGTTACTGCCCTGGGATAGAAGCTGTTTTTCAGCCTATTTGTCCTTCTTTTTATTATCCTGTACCGTCTGCCAGATGGTAATAGTTCAAAAAAAAAAAAAAAAAAGGGTGCCCAGGATGAGATGGATCTCTAAGGATGTTTTGAACTTTCTTAAGGCAGCGGGAGCAGTGGTGGATTGCTCCCAGTTCGCCCCGGTTTGGGCAAACTGGTAGTGGCGGCAGGGGAGGCTCCACCCACCCACCCAGACATCATCAAAAACTTTCTGCGCATGTGCAGAAGTGCTGCGTGCTCGCGAGCTATCGATAGCGAACTGGTAGCGCCGGGATTTGAAACCCACTACTGATCTAGGTATATGCCTAGATATGACCTTCAACTTCAGGTGACATGTTGCAAATATCATGTCTTTCCCAAGAAGGGACTTGTCTTCTCTTACCATGACATTTATGGAGCTACAGATTCCACACAGTTTCATGATTGTATCATGAACCGCTGTAGGTGACACAGCGATGTTGAGATTTGACAGGAGCTTATTGTTCCTGTTTGAAGTTCCAACAAAAGACCTCACAAGGAGAGGATTAGTTAAGAGGTCGATCCTGGAGCAGATACAACTCGTTGAGTTGGAGGCAGGGCACCCTGTTGGCATCAAATATGTATTCTAATCGTGAAGGGTTATCCAGGTGGAAGGAAAATTCGGGGGTGATTAAGAACCTGGTTCAGTGGCTGGAAAGGGGGACTTCCATGTGGGAAGAACGGTGCTCTTTAATACCTCTGGTGGAAAAAAAAATTCTTTATTTTTTTTTTCATTTTTGAATTCTCCACCTATCTTGTAATTTAATAAATTATATAGTTGTAAATCTGAGGGAAACTTTGGCTGAGATCCTGAAGAATTGCAGAACAGACAGTTCTAGGCAAGGTTGGGCCACTCATCGGTTCCTGGAAGACATTGGCTTTTTGTAGTTCATGTTGATTTTGGAACGTAGACTGAAATCCCAATATGATATCACCATTATGGAACAAGCAGAATATTAGGTGAGACCATAAATCAGAAAGATTCATAATGAATGAATGAATGAAAAATGAATGAACCAGAAAGGTCCAGAAAGAATAGAATAGAATAGAATAGAATAGAATAGAATAGAATAGAATAGGAATAGAATAGAATAGAATAGAATAGAATAGAATGGAATAGAACAGGGTTTCCCAAACTTGGGAACTTCAAGATGTATGGACTTCAACTCCCAAAATCCCACAGCCAGCCATGCTGGATGGGGAATTCTGGGAGTTGAAGTCCACACTTCTTAAAGTTCCCAAGTTTGGGAAACACTGGAATAGAATAGAATAGAATAGAATAGAATAGAATAGATAGAATAGAATAGAATAGAATAGAATAGAATAGAATAGAATAGAATAACAGAGTTGGAAGGGACTTTGGAGGTCTTCTAGTCCAGCCCCCTGCCCAGGCAGGAAACCCTACACCACTTCAGACAAATGGTTATCCAACATCTTCTTAAAAATGTCCAGTGTTGGAGTATTCACAACTTCTGGAGGCAAGTTGTTCCATTTATTAATTGTTCTAACTGTCAGGAAATTTCTCCTTTATTCTAAATTGCTTCTCTCTTTGATTAGCTTCCACCCATTGCTTCTTGTTCTATCCTCAGGTGCTTTGGAGAATAGTTTGACTCTCTCCCTCAACCCCTGAGATATTGGAATACTGCTATCATGTCTTCCCTAGTCCTTCTCTTCATTAAACTAGACATACCCAGTTCCTGTAACCATTCTTCATATGTTTTAGCCTCCAGTCCCCTAATCCTCTTTGTTGTTCTTCTCTGCACTCTTTCTAGAGTCTCAACATCTTTTTTACATCGTGGCGACCAAAACTGTATGCAAGAATGAATGAATGAATGAATAAATGAATGAACAATCAAACCAAGATATCACCGTATCCAAGAGTTATGGTTTCGACCTAACCAATGATGCAAACTCTGAAAGGACAATAATTTATAAAATATTCACTAGCTGTTTTTAAGTAGAGGCTAACTCATAGCTACAGCACTGGATTTAAATCAAGAATTCAGTTCAACTTTATTTCTCTTTTTCATTAATGGAAGGATAAATGTCTGGTGAGACCATAGTCACAATCTCTCTGATGATGACTTCCAAAGGTAGTTTCAGTAGCAAGGTTGGTCTTAGATCCCTCCTAATTCTGTGATTCAATCTCAGATAAAATCATAGAGATATTATGTATAGAAGAGCCAGATGTTTGGTATCTACCAACCCTACCTTCTTAGAAACCCAGCCCAAAGCATCAAGAGATGTCATCACTTTGCTTCAATTATCTGACTCCACAAAGTTGTGACTCATTGGCTTATTGATCAACAGTGAGGTCTAAACTTAAGGCACTGAAAGAAAGGCTTAGCAACGTGAAAGAGCGAGAAAGAGCATTCTTAAGTAGAACTTCCTTCAACTTCTGGAGAATGAGATTTCCTGTTAAAGGAAGACCTTCCTTGGTCTTCCTAAGGAATTCTTCAAACAGATTATGGTTGGATCCTAACTCAATACAACTCATCTCAATTGAATCTGAAATTAATTCAACTCACTTCTATTGAGTCCTAACTCAATTAAACTCAACTCAAATGAGTCCTTCCTCAATTTAACTCAACTGAGTCCTAATTCCACTCAACTCAGTTGAGTTCTAATTCAATCCAACTCAACTGAGTCCTAACTCAATTCACAATTCATGGGTTTCAATCCGTACATCAAGGATATGGTACGTTAGATAGACCATAAGTATCCCCACTTCACCATATATAATTCTTAAAATATAAGCTAGAATTTGAATTTATGTCAAAATTAAGTATAGAGAACAAAGAAAATGACCTCAATGGAGATATGGAGGCTAAGTAAAAGGGGCAGAAACATTTATTCTGTCCTCCACATTCCTGGAACATGGGTAATCAGGAATACAGTTCAGAAAACAATTCAAAATACATTTTTGAAATGATCGTTGGGAATTCCAGTTAATTCAAAGGGGACTGGAATATACAGCTAACAAAAATTGCACAGGTGAGACATAGAAGAGATCTTCTAAGTCCCATCTTGGACTTCAATACCTTGTTATACAAAAGTTGCTATCGCCTTGATGGATGGAGATGTTAGCATTGAAATTTCATGCCATTTGAAGAATCTCTCATCGGGAAGGGAGAATTGAAAATGCTTGGTTATGTAATCAGATCAAACAGAATAATAAAGTTGGAAGGGACCTTGGAGGTCTTCTAGTCCACCCCCCTGCTTAGGCAGGAAACCCTACACCACTTCAGACAAATGGTTATCCAACATCTTAAAAATTTCCAGTGTTGGAGTATTCACAACTTCTGGAGGCAAGTTGTTCCACTTATTAATTGTTCTCACTGTGAGGAAGCTTCTCCTTAATTCCAGGTTGCTTCTCCCCTTGATTCATTTCCATTCGTTGCTTTTTGTCCTGCCTTCAGTGCTTTGGAGAATAGCTTGACTCCCTCTTCTTTGGGGCAGCCCCTCAAATATTGGAAGTGTCGCCCAATGCTTCTCCATAATGCTTCAACACAACTGCACAACTTTTTTTTCCCTGTAGGATTCTCCTTCCGATACCCAGATTACTTATCAGAATGGCACGGAGGATTTGACACCACTCACCATTTTGGATTGCTGGATCATTGGGTGTTAACCTAGTTTCCACCTTCCAGTCTCAGAGTGTTCTATCTTAAAACCCATTTGGCTGCGGTAAGAACTACAAATCTTGTTGAAGACCAATGACTATACAGGAAATTGGTCAAGGCTGAAGTTAAGAAGCAGCCGAGGGAAGAACCCGCACAGCAAGGGATTTTTTTTCCAGAAGTTCATTTTCCCATGTATTTCCTGCTGGTGATTCATCCTGTGCTTCCACAAGACAATTCATGAACTTGTCCTGATGGGGGCTCCTGAGGACTTCCATCTTAATCAGAAACTTCTAGGTTAACATAGTTCCTTCGACTGGAGCAATTTTCCGCCCAACTTACTTGCTTCCAGAATGCAATGTACTTCCATTCACATAATGCACCACCACAGGGGAACAAAGAGTTATGGGATGACATGATATGGGATGACTGGGAGGTGACATGATAGCACTGTTCAGGGATGAAATCCAGCAGGTTCTGACAGGTTCTGGAGAACTGGTAGTGGAAATTTTGAGCAGTTCGGAGAACCGGTAGTGGAAATTTTGAGTAGTTCAGAGAACCGGCAAATACCACCTCCAGCTGGCCCCAGAGTGGGGTGGGAATGGAGATTTTGCAATATCCTTCCCCCAGGAGTGGGGAGGGAAAGGAGATTTTGGAGTAACCTTCCACTGCCACGCCACCAAGCCACACCCACAGAACCAGTAGTTAAAAA